AAAAACTATTTCATTTCTGTAAACTATACTACTAAATTATAGTAAAATTTATGATGTCCGAATCGTACACTCCTAACCTTGCTTCCGGAAAAATTAAACTTATTTAACCTACACTTATGCAAAATGTAGTACTGCTAACTTAAATTTTGCAGTTCGATTATTTATAATCAGATACTCGACGCATGCGGATCAAGTAGATTTAATTATCACGATATACATAGGTGAGCAAATCGCTTGTAGTCTATTCGGGTCTTATGACTTCAACGTTATAAACGTATCACCTAAGTTTAAAAATTGATCCGATAAAATCATATTACCGTCGAACGATTACATCAAACAAATCAGATCATCCACTATTAATATGACTGATAAACGCGTTAACAGTGACATACGTTTCCTGAGTATTCTAGTTATTTATTTGTTCACATTAGATTGCGTTGCATTGATTATTGACAAATCGATATTAATGTAGAAGTGTTTAGAAGGTAGAAATGTACCTCGAGAAACCGAACACCCATTTCGATAGCAAGTATACGTGCAAATCTCCTTTGACAATCGTCGGGATCTGTCTCAGACGCGACAGCTGTCTGTACGTTCTCAGGTGGCTCTTGTGCTTGGACAGCTCCACCATGTTCTCGTGCCAATATTCTGGGTTGACGGGCAGCCAAGTTTTCGACGCGTTAGTGAAACCTGGAACCATTGGAAACGAGTTTAATACTGTAACCGTTTCCCGTAATCGAAAACGGACTCGACCGTGAACTTTGCAGTACCTGCGTTGCGCGAATCGTCCCAGGGGAAAGGGCTGCGCGCGGGGTCTCTGCTGAACTGTGTGTACCGGAAGGGGCCCACGTTAACACCGGCCGGGTCCACGGTCTGATTCCATCGGACGTACGTGTCCCCGACACCGAGCTCGTCGGCGTAGTACGTGATCGGCGTGCCCGGCAACAGCAATTGCATCATGTGCAGACCGTCGACCAACAACGGGTGCGTCCTGGAACCGACCCTGGAGTTGTCGTGGTTCCCGAGCTAACCAACCGGTGAACAACAATTAACGGTTGAGAGTATTCGTTACCATAATAGAGTACGGATTTTAATTTAAATAAATATTTTTATTCAGTTTTAACATTGAAAAGTTTTTGACGTACGTGTACGTTTAATTTAATTTTGAATAAGCTGATGCTAATTCTATTTTAAATATTTTCAAATGTTTTACAAATAAATATACGTAATCTGTATTGTTGTAGAATTTCCGTTTTTATTTTAGTATTTTACGTTTGACGAAAAAAAAAATATTTTTAAAAGCGCCAAGTCGTATACTAACATTTAAATATATGTATCCAAATTAAACCCTGTCCCCCCGAACTTATTATGCCTCAGTGGGATACGTGGCTATCAGCTGTTTTAAATTATTCGAAAATCTTTGAAAAAATTAAAGGAATTGGAACGAGAATGAAAAAAAGTTCACGGAGAAATTGGAGTTTTACTAATTCAAAATTACAAAATATATTAGGAAAAAACCCAGGATTTTACGCTGAAATTTCGATATGGGATATACTATTACACAAAATTCCAAAAAACAATTTAGAAATAGAATACTAAAATAATTAATGTGTATGAAATATGCACCTGTCTCTCCCGTTGATATGGAGAGATCATCTAGCCGTTATTAAGTAATAAAAAGATCGGATCACCGTAATTTTAAATTCTAAAATCTCAAATTATACGTTATTTCTAACTCTTTGTCCCACGAAGACTATTTGGATGATTCAGAATAAAAATGTTTAATTTGTATTATGTATAATTTATAAATTATAGTGAATTCTTTCTTGTTTTCAATTAAATATTTCAATATTATAAATAAATATATATAAATATATATATATATTTATATATATATTTTACAAATGTGTGTTTAAATATTTTTAATTTTGTACTAAGCTAACATTCGTTCCCCAGGTATTATCATTTGCGAGCCGTCCAAACAAAACGAGCTCCAACACGATAAACGTGAAGAATACTCACCACCCAATTGGCCCACTTCCCTTCGGGCATGTTCAACATCCACGATTTGATCATGTCGTACACCTGATTCGCGTCGGATTGTTTATTGAACGAGTTGATGAACAAAAAGTTGAACGGGAAATGAGCACCGGGATGGGTCGTGTTGCCGTAGTACAGCATGGTGTAGTTCAGCGGCGAATAGCATTCGACCATGAAGAAGCTGTTACGAACGAAAAGTGTGAACGATTAACACGTGAGCTCCGAATAACATTCGGAAACGCTTTCGGACGCTTCCCGCGGTTCGAGACCGGTAACACGTACTTGGGTGTTTTCTCGGAGATGGAGTACTCCTCGAAGAGTTCCCGCCACAAGTGGACCATTTGGTAAGTTTCCGGTTGGTCGAGCGTGTTCGTATGGATCAGACTGCTGTAATCGGTGTCGTAAGCACCGGGGTAGTTCGATTTCTGTTCGTCCTCTAGGTCTTCTCTCTCGTACAGATAGTTGACGGCGTCAAATCTGAACCCGTCCACGCCACGTCCCAGCCAGTAGAGTATGGTGTTCTAGAGACGTTTTCCCCATTAGACATGTATCATGCTAACCGTTAACGTTTGTAACACCGTGCAAGCTGACGGTCGTGCCGGTATTTTCAATACCGACAGTAATTACCTTGATTTCCTCCACGACCATTGGGTTCCTGTAGTTCAAGTCGGGCTGTTTCACTTGGAACGCGTGATAGTAGTACTGCTGACGTTTTTCGTTCCATTCCCAAGCAGGCCCCCTGTTTGACCCCCCCCAATGGAAAGTGAAAAAAAATTTTTTTTGTTGTGTTTTTTTTTTTTTTTTTTTTTACTGATCAAATTGTGCACAGTGATTTTTATATTAAACATCTATTATGAAAACCATAGCTCGTAATTGTAATACACTTTTTCCTTACGCACCCAGTTGTTCGGAGGAATTCTGTTGCCGTCTTTATCGTATTTCGCGTCTTTCCACACGTAATAGTTCGTGTACGGTTCCATTCTGTCGACAGATTTCGTGAACCACGGGTGTTCGTCGCTGGTGTGGTTCGGCACAAAGTCTAATATTACTTTTATCCCTGGGAATCGCAATATATCCAAGTTTTTAACAAGCCCTTCACAACGCACATAATAACACACAACTCACCGTTATTGTGGAATGCATCTCTCAAACGGTCAAAGTCTGCCATCGTGCCGAACAACGGATCGATCATTTTGTAGTTCGATATATCATAACCGAAATCGTCTTGTGGAGATTTAAATATAGGAGATAACCAAATAGCTCCAACGTTGATGCTTTTGAAATAATCAACTTTTTCAGTCACACCTTTGAGAAACATAATAATTAGGAGTATGTTACTTAATTCTAGATATTTTTTTTTTTTATAGCAGACTCCGTTTTCTTTACGAAGAAAAATGAGAAATTACTAAAAAAATTTCACGTTAGTTTTTATTCATTTTATGAATTCGACATGTAGATATTTGACTGCAAGTTGTGAAATTTTGTCGAATCTATATAAAATTTTCATCCCGTATTTATTAATTTACTGTATTATTACATGGATATTTCAAAAGTATAACAATTTAATGTTATTAAGGAATTAAAAGAGTTCATGACTCATTTAACTAAAATGTATTGTTTTCAGACGCTTTTCATTAAAAAGATAATCAATATCTTCAAAATATCTTTGAAAATGACATAAGTATCTTTAATTTTTTTTAAAAAAAAGTACAAAACAATATATTTATAATGGAAATTATTATGGCAATCGTTCATTGGAAGGTGGTTCTGACTTATTGTCTTATATTTTTGGAAATTCTTATAGTTAAATATTATGTATTTCAATAATAAATTAAAAAGTAATAACAATACTTATTAATTAATAATCAAATAGTTTAATGAACTATGTTATTTTTTAAAAGGTGAGTTAAATAATATATTATTTATTTTTATTAACTTATTTTTTTTAACATAAATAATATCAAAGGCTTATTTTTTCTTAAACTGTTTAAACAAAATATATAAATAATAAATAACTATTAACGCCAATGAGTTATTATTTTTTTTATTATAAATCAGATAAAAATTAAATATATTTAATCCATTGTAATATTGAAATTGTTTAAATGCTTCCAATGATCCTATTGTTTAAATACTTCCAAAAAATAATTTAAATCGACCAAAACATATTTAACTTGAACGAATAGAATGTATATTAAATAAATATAAAATTTAGTCAAATATACTTTTTGGCTCAATAAAGATTTTCAATGTTACAAGTAAATATAACATTCACTTATCATTAGTGTGCGTAAAAAATCAAACATATATTTCATTAAAGGAAAAAAAAAGAAATCTTGAACAGAACAAAATTTATGTTATAATTTCGAGTTAAAAAAGGTTGCGATATAGCAATTATTACCTAACTATACAAATATTTGAAGAATATTATTTTTTTACTACAAATAAATAGAATTATATAATTTTTAAGATAATTTAACATAATAATTAATAATAATAATCTTTATTGGCCAAGAAGGAAATTACAATAACAAATATAGGATAAATACATAATACAAGTTATATGGCCTATCTCGCCACTGTAGTTAGCCTCTTATCGGTGATGATGGAAAACCAACATAATTAACTGAATATTTTTTTTTATATATTAATTTTTTTTTTTTTATCGGAATAATTTAGTATATTAATTAAAATATATGAATAAAATGCAATATAAATCGGAAATACAAGGTATAGTTATAATGTTAAGTTTGACTATAATAATTAATAAAAATAAGAAAATAAGGAATAATGATCAGATATAAGTATAAATGGCAATAAAAACGAAAATTCTAATGTAAATTTATTTAATTATAACTATTACTTATAAGTATAAAAACTATAAATTGTAGGTGTTATTTACTAGCCAGTTTTGATCAAATTCTTGTGTTTAGTATATGATATGCAATTAATTATATGAATTAGTACTTTATTTAATAAGTTTAAACCTATATGAGAAAAACATTGGCTTGATTTTAATATTCTAATAATGGTAATATCTAAATTATTTTTTATACGTGTGTTATGATGTCTTTTTTTTATGTTTGATTAAATTAAATTTATATGAAAAATACAGAACTTTTCTGAAAAATAGCTGTTTTATAGTGAAAACTTTGAATTCTTTTAATAGGTTAGCAGTGAAATATGATTTTGATTTGTTCATATTTATTTTAATAATACTTTTTTGTGTTATAAAATTTATAAAAATATTATAAATCTATAAAAATATTTAATATTTTATTTTCTGATATAAGAATAGCCGTGTCATCTGCTTATAAAAATAAATTACCGTAAATATTTAGATTGTCTGATGAAGCATCATATATAATATATAAAATGGGCAATAGAACTGTTCCTTGGGGGATTCCAGATGTAATTGAAGTTATATTGCTTAGTGTGTAGTTAATTCTAACTTGTTGGGTTCTATTGTGGAGATATGATTCAAAAAGTTTAAATGTTTTATTAATTATACCAATGAATTTAAGGATGTTTAATAAAAAAATATGCGAAATGTTGTCGAAAGCTTTACTAAAATCTAGGAATGTATCTAATGTTTTAATATTATTATTTAGATTTGAATAAATTTTTATAGATAATTGGGCTAAGGTATCTTCTGTTCCAAGATTATTTCTAAATCCGTTTTGTGATTTGAAAATAATATTGTTTTCTTTTAGATATTGCATAAGTCTTGTTTATGGCTCGCAAAAAAGGTTTTTAAAATGTTAAATATACTAATCGGTTTATAATTGTTGATATTTGATTTGTCACCACTCTTAAGCATTGGAGAAACTACGACACTTTTAAGGGAGTCTGGAATAATACCTTCCAATATTATTAAGTTGAAAATATGAACTAAGAAATATGCAATTGTTTCTTTAATTTTCTTATTACGGTAATTGACAACCCATCTAATCCAGGAGCCGAATCACACCTTTCATATTTGAAATTATATTAATTACTTTT